GGGACCCGCCGGGCGCTCCCGCGCGCACTCGACCGCCTGAGTGGTAAGAACCCTAGGCACCCTGTCCCCATCCCCTTCCCCGGGCGGGCGAGGGATGCGGGAACGACCGCCGCGGGGTGGTGGGGAGACCCTGCCGTCGCACCTTAGCCTGGCCCCCCGGCTCCTGCCCGCCGCTTCGTGAGAAGCCTTCGGCGGGGACTTGGCCCCGGGCGCCGGACCCGAGAGCACCCGGCCGGGGAGTGAAGGTCCGGGGAGGAACGGGAGGCGCGGCCGAGGGCCCAAGTGGGTGCGGGCGTGTGAGTGTGTGTGTGTGAGTGTGTGTCGCTCCGGGTCCACGCTCATGCACACACCCACACGCCCGCGCTCGGGGTCTGCTCCCTCGGCCGCGGGAACCCCGGAGCCTGCCTGGTATCCAGTCCTGGCACCAAGCAAGTCTACAAAAGTTTTCTTGTAACCTGGGTTCGAGTGAGAAGCAAGCTGCGAGGGTCCCGCAATCGGGGGCCCCCGCAAGGCAAAGGCCTCCACACTGGGGTTCTTCTGCTCTTGTCCTCGGGAAAGTTGAGTTCAGGCCTTGACCTTCCACCAAGCTCCTCATCTCTCCGCCGCAGACCCTCACTCTGCCTGTCTCCCTCCCCAGTCGACACCCTAAACTGGCACCACTTCGATTCCCGGTCCTGGGGTTGGGTCCTACTCTCTTCCTCAGCTCCTACCCCCACCACCCCCCTTCACATACCCACCCAAACGTCCGGTCTTCTTCCCCGGAATCTGGTGAGTACTTCCAGCCCTGTCAGAACAGGCGCCTGAACGTCACAGCATTTGCTGAGTAGAAAGGCATCTGTGCCCGGTTGATCCCATCAATTCCGTCCTGACCATATTGAAAGTCCCAAGCAGGTGGCTTTTAAAATCAACATCTCTTGAATTCCAGAAGATCTCAGCCTCCTGAGGACACGCAGAGTAACACAGGCTTTCTCCCTAGAGGCTTCTGTCCGCACTGGCACTCTTCCTCCCAACAGCCCCTTTCCTGCCTAGCCTATTTGCATTCGTTTTCCATCAAAATCTGAGCTCAGGAATCTGATAAACTCCCATTGTGAGCTTGAAGGGAAAGAATGGAACTTTTAGGGTGGAATCCGAGGCACATGTGATCCAGTGCAGAAAGAATTTGAGGTTGGAAGGGGCCTTCTACACCTCAGGGACTCAGATCATGAAAGTAGTCATTTATTGATAAGACTGGGCTCGGGTCAAACATTTTTTCTCTCACATAGGTATCAAACCATATATTCCAGTTCACTGAATAGTCAAGAGTCAGAAACCAAGTGATTATGACCCTGCAGAAGAGACTAACATAAAATCATGGTCTTGCAGAAGAGACTAAGGTAGAAATAAATGCTATAGAGTTCATAAAAATGTTACCAAAATCTGGAAGAGGGAGCACTAAATTCTTGAAGGAGTGAGGCAAGTTAAGGGAAAATTCTGAGTAAAAAAGACACATTAGAGGTGCAAAAGGAAACCTGGATGCAGGCAGGCAGCTGAGCAGAGGAACCAGCATAAGCAGAGGCAAATTGTTGGAGAGGTTTACGAGCTGTGTGGGTACTGCCAGGAAGCCTGGAGAGGCAGGGTGTCAGTGTGTTCAGAGTTGTAGCGAGATTGAAGCCAGCTAACCCTGCCAGAGGCTGTGCACAGGTGTTTAAACTGAGTGCTTTCGCAAACTCTGGGTTCTAACTGCAAAACTGATGGGCCAGAGGGAAGCAGAGTGGCAGTGGGTCCAGTGGACTGGCAGGTTACTGGTGCTTTGATGTTGGATGCACTGGTGTGGCTACACATTCGGGGAAGTGTGAACCTGTAGTCCTAAAACATTCGGGTTGTAAACCAAAGTTACTTCAATTAAAAAAAAAAACAAACAACTTCACACCTAATAGCTTTTAAACAGGGCAGCAAATAGCTTCCATGATTGTGTATTTCATGAGCAGTCTGCAGGAAAAAGAGCCTAAGACCTGGGTATTGGCACTGACAAGCTCCATAGAAAGTCCTACAACCTGATTGAGAGGAGTTGTTGTTTTCTTTTTTAATAATAGTTTATTTTGTGTCTTTTCCCTGACTGAGTTTGTTTCTTTTTTAAGATTTATTTATTTATTCATACAGAACTGGGGTACAGGCCAGAGATGCGAAAGGATTCACCAGAGACAGAGCAGGGAGCAGAACAGGCAGATCGACGAAGTACACTGCTGAGGGGAGCAGCGGGCGGGTCAGGAGAGGTCTGCCACGCCATGTGGATCTCCTCGGGGCAGGTGGGGATCCAACTCATGTGGAAGTGGCTTAAGCTTCTCAGTGCAGTGCTGCGCCACCAGGGAGGGCCTGATTGAGAGTTTTTTTTTTTTTTTTTTTTTTTTTAAAGATTTATTTATTTATTCATATAGAACTGGGGTACAGGCCAGAGATGTGGAGGGTGAGAGGATTCACCAGAGACAGTGGGGTGCAGAACAGGCAGATGGAGGAGGTACACTGCTGAGGGGAGCAGCGGGCGGGTCAGGAGAGGTCTGCCACGCCATGTGGATCTCCTCGGGGCAGGCGGCAGGCGGGAATCGAACTCATGCGGAGGTGGCTTTAGCTTCTCAGTGCTGTGCTTTAGCCCGCTGCGCCACCAGGGAGGGCCTGATTGAGAGTTTTTAATCCTCGTCCTTCCAGAGTTTTTGATCCTGGTCCTTCCCTGGCCACCATTTTTTTCTAATTAAGGAAAGTGATTTCATACAGAGCATATGTAACCAAATTCTTTTGTTGCCAGGTGAGGCCATTGAAAAACACACACACACACCACTGTTTTACAAAATAAGACACTTTAATATTAAGAAAAGCATGAAGGCTTAACCTTACAAGATAAAGTTAGACCTTTACATTTAATAAATTTAGATTAATGAAAAATTTGCTATGTTGTCCTTATTTTCCTCTGTCATCATGGACTGTTCCCAGTCATGCAGTCTGGGGACAAAGTATTCAGGTCATTTTGTCCAGTCTTCCTTTCAGAGGAAGAAGGAAAGAAGTCGAGCAAGTGAAACGTAGCCTCCAAGAAACAGGGGACAAAAGTCCTGCTCTTCCCACCCCTCATAATCTTCCATGTGGCCTCCTGATGGCCACTTGAACCCTAGACGTCTCTCCTGGCAGTGCGGAGTGGTGATTTGCAAGTGCCCCTGCACCACCGTCTGAATAGCTCCATGGAAGCCACTTTGCAGGCTCTGCCCTGCCTTCCATGAGGCCAGCCTAGCTCGGGCACATCTTTCCCTTCCTTGATGTGCTGTTTTGCATCATCGTTTAACTATTTCATTTAGCTGAAATCATTTCCTAGACTTGACAACCAATATGAAGACAGATTATTCATTTTCTGAAGATAGAAAACATGCTTTCCGTTTTAGACTTATTTTTGGTTGCATGCTGTTGCTGCTCCAATACCTAGCATAGTTCTGGGAGCATTTTAGGTGATGAATGAATTTGCTCATGAAAAACTAACTTATTCCCAGCCTACAAAGGCTTCTTTATATGCCACCCTTCTTCTCCTTGGAATTTACTTAAGAAGCCTTCTTGTTTCTGTGGGTTGAGTCTCTCTTACTTGCATCAAAGTCACAGGACATGGCTGCCGGGATCCATGTTCTAAACCACAAATCAGGGAGAAGTTTCCAGTCTAACACCCTTTACCGCACCCAGGTGGAGCTGGGACCTTTAAGTGAGCTCAGTGCATGTCCCAGCTGAGTCCTGGTAGACTCGAACATCACTGCTCAGAAAAAGCCTTGCACTTAGAGCACAGTTCCTAATAATTTTAGACAAAAGGGCATAGACAAAAAGGATTATAGTTTTCTTGTCATACTAACAACCAGAATAGATAAAGTTCTGCCAGAGCAAACAAAAAAAGTTCAGGGCTGGAGGGGGTAGGTAGGGGGAATTGGCTTTAGGGAAAATGGAAATCTGACACAGGTAAAAGTAAATAAAGATTAGAGGTGAGTACAATTTAAAGTTAAAATTGGGCTGAATAGTATGAGTTACACAGATGTCAAGATCCAGTCTTTATCAAATGTGTAAGTTGTCCATAAATATTTTTAATAGTCTCAGGTCAGTACCTTACAGCAGGCTTTTTTGGATATTTCTAAAGGATTAGTTCTTGCTGCTGGATGAATGCAGAGCTGCAGAGAAGTTTTTTTTGCAATTGAAGTAAGCTGATCTAAGGCAATCTGGCATCAGAGATGAGCAACCTCCTTACCAAGAGCGATGTTGCCATGAGTCCATGTTCTCAGCTGGAGCTCTGCCCACCCTGATACGTATGTTAGCAAAGGGCTTAGTGATGGCACAGCTGTTAAAGCCCCAGCTCACTGCCCTTGCAGACCTCTGGACCATTTTAGAGACAGACTCAGCTAGTTCTCTAATCAGGTTTTGAAGTTCTTTCACAATCACTGAAACAATGGGCACTAAGCTGTTAGACTCAATATAACCTTAAGCCTTGGCACTAGAAGGGCAAAAGATTCCTCTCCATTATTTTCTTCTCACTCTACCTATCTTAAGCACCTTCCATTTCACCAGCGAAAAAGGGATTCTACTGTCCTTTATGCTAACTGGCATACCCTAGAGTACCAGTCAGAGAGGGTGATAGCTTATCAAGATGTAGACACTCAGTTACAGATTTTGAAATGCTAACTAAAGCTCTTGGGAAAGTATATTTCTGCCTAGGGCACTTCAGCTATTAACCAGCTCCCCTCCAGGGCATAAATAACATCTAATCCAAATATGTGTCACATGGTATAGGCTGAAATATTTTAGCATTATGAGTAATATCACAACATATTTAGGCAAATCCTACAACGATGCTTTTTATTTGCTTGTGAATATCTTTCATAGCTAGGTTTATTGTCGTGTTCCTTCTTATAAAAAGAAGTGAAATTGTTTGGAACTTTTTAATAGTTCAGGTTCCTAAGGAATTTCAAATTACCTTACAAAGAAATGAAATACTATGACCAGCTATTGAGGAGGGAAAAGTGGAAATAAAAGTGATCTCTAAGCATCATTTATTCATGGCCCCATTCTCTTTATTTAGTGAGGAATAAATTAAGACAGAGAACTCTCTGGGCCATGGCAATCAACCAGTATCCTAGGCAGGGATCAGCTCGTATTTTTTTTGTGAGGGGCAATATCTCAGGCTTTGCAATTTTGTGGGCCCTGTGGGCTTAGTCACCCTCTAAGTACCCTGTTGTGCTCAAAAATCGATAGGTAAATGGATGTGTCTCTGTCCTAATAAAATTGCATCAAGACTGGTGGGGATTTGGCCAACAGACTGTAGATCTGTCCTGACTGAGGGAGTTTTCATGGGAATTTTATAAGCCCCAAATGATGATAGCTTCTCAAGTTCCCTACCTCAATTCCACCCCCTCTCATGAACCACAGTAATGAGTACCCCTTTTCTACACAGTGTCCTGACTGTGTCACTAACAGGCCATCTCCAGCCTGGAAGACTCTCAACTTAATATACCAGCTAAAAGGAGGCATGTGTTTTGTGCCTTTTCCACCTTTTTGGGAATGTTGTCACTGAATTAATTCAGGTGCTTTTGTTTAGAAAGGTGCATTCAAGCTCAGTTAACTGGGATGGAAGGTGAAAAAGACAATGTGACATTTTGGAACCACCTGCTATTAGACATTTCCTGCATAGCGTATGGGGGAAAGGTGTATTCTGCTTGCTTTCATTTCAAATACATTTTAATTTAAAATCTCCATGCAAATGGTAATATAACTCAATACACATACTTGCTGAGCTTCCCATTATATCTAAGAAAGCTTGTTAAATTTTATAAAACACAAAACAAGTATGAGATTATAAAAACAAAGCAAGATCTTTGCCTTTATAGAATTTGAAGTATAATAGGAAAACAATCTAGGAACTCTAATCAAAAAGGATTGTAATGTTCCAGGTGAGACTAACAGAAAGCATTCTCAGACTTTAGGAAAAGAAAATGATATGCAGTTGGGAGAAACAAAAAATGGAGAAGGTGGTTGTTTTTACTTGACCTTAGATGTGAAAAGGCAAACCACCTGAGTATGTCACGTGAATGCCAGGCACTATAGTGATTCTTAAGTTGACTCACCTGAGGCTTTGGAAGGGCACAGGGGAGAGCAGAGTGGTGAGTCCAGAGCACCAAGGCCCTGGATGCCAGCTGAAGTGTGTGGCCTCATCTCACTATTGATGAGGAATCCAGGTTTCATGAGGAATCCTGATGACGTATGAGCAGGAGAATGATATCATTAGAGCAGTGAGATGACGAATAAGGAAGGATGGGGAAATGAAAAGGAAAACAAGTAGAAAGGTGACCCCAATATAAAAATCAACAATAGGAACCAAGGGCCTGGTCTACAGTGGAGGTGGTGAGAACAGAAGTAAAAAAGTGAACATAGGGCCCTCCCTGGTGGCACAATGGGCACTGTGGAGCTATCCATATCCCCTGCAGCAGGAGTTCAATCCTAGCCAGGAGCTGACCCACATGGCGCAGCAGATCTCTCTTGTCTCACCCACTGCTCCCCTCAGCAGTGTATTTCAGTAGAGCTGCCTGTTCTGTTCCCCACTCTCTCTGGTGAATCCTCTCACCCATGTACTTCTGGCCTGTACCCTAATTCTTGTATGCATAAATAAATAAATCTTTAAAAAAAAAAAAAGAATGGACATAGATTCTGAGTAAACAGCCTTTAGGATTTGTGCACTGGTTGAATGAAAAAGAATAGGTAGATGACATTGCAGGTAAGATTCTGATGTGGTTTGGTTTTAAAGTCAGTATGGGTTCAAATCTCAAAGCTGCCACTTATTAAAAGTGTGACTTCTGAGCCTCAGTTGCCTCATCTATAAAATTCATCATATCTCACTCAAAGGAGATAGTACATTTATTATTATCTCCTGGACTTAATAGAACCCAAGAAATGATATCTGTTGATATCACATATTCTTGAGAGGATGAAAGTTTAGTCAATGACAACAGTGTGATTTTTTTTTTTTAAGATTTATTTATTTGTACATACAGAACTGGGGTACAGGCCAGAGGCTCAGGGGCGGTGAGAGGCTTCACCAGAGACAGAGTGGGGAGCAGAACAGGCAGATGGAAGAAGTACACTGCTGAGGGGAGCAGCGGGTGGGTCAGGAGAAGTCTGTCTCGCCATGTGGGTCATCTCCCGGGGCAGGCAGGAATCTAACTCATGTGGAAGTGGCTTTAGCTTCTCAGTGCTGTGCTTTAACCCGCTGTGCCACCAGGGAGGGCCGACAACAGTGTGATTTTATCCCTGGGTTATGAGGGACATCTTGAGTGCTATAAAAAGAAGCACAAAAGTCAAAAGGAAGATCCTGTATAAATAGTAAGCCAACATATTTCCTCTTGGTTAGGAAATGTTCAACTGGTCATTAGAAATACTTATCCAGAGGTAGAGTTTTGTATGAGTGTTAAAATGTATTACATCTGTCCTTACCATATTAGCATATTTGTCATATACCACAAAATTCAGACTACAAAATTCACTGTTTTTAAGTGTATAATTTAAGTGTATACTTCAGTAGTTTTTAGCATAGTCATATTTACACAACCATTACCATGAGCTAGTATTAGAACTGTATCATCCAAACATGAAATTCATAACCATTACCAACACTCCTTATTTCTACTCTCTCAGCCCCCAGAAATCACTAATTTACTTTATCTCTATGGCATGGGAAGTAGATATCTGAGACTCACAACATAAAGCTAGTTTGTAAAACTATGAGAAAGGAATATGATCCATTCTGAGAGAAACCATAGCAAGGGGAAAGACCCAGAAAATCTTGGGGATTGACCCTTTAAAGACAGAAGGGTTTGTGTCTGCCCTGAGAGCTCAGCCTGGGTGGCCAGTGTGTCCCGTGGCTTCTTACACACTGTGGTTTTAGCAGCCCTCTACCTCTGGATGAATATTTCTGATGATCAGTTGAACATTTCCTGTCCAAGAAGAAATATGTCAGCTTACTGTTTATATAGGATCTTGCCTTGGCAAGGCCGATTTCTTCTGGAGTCTCTGCAGGGTAAATAGTTTCCAGAGTCTAGTGGCTGCCTGTATTCCTTGGATTATGGCCCGTTCATCTTCAAAGTACATCACTTTAGCCTCTGCTTCTTTCACCACATCACTTTTTCCTCTGTCATCAAATCTCCCTGTACCTCTGTCTGAGAGGAGACTTGTTATATCATGTAGTCCCACCAAGATAATTTCCCCATCTCAAGATCCTAATTGCACCAGCAAAATCGCTTTTGGCACGTAAGGTAACAGTCATGGGGCTCAGGGATCCAGACATGGATATCTTCAGAAGTTGTTCTTCATCCTACCCCAAGACCACATAAAGTTTTACTGACAAGAGAAAGTTTACCCCTATCAGGTTGAATCGAATTATTCTAGACTTTGAGTTAAGCTTAACAACTCAGATTGAACCATAAAACATTTGTTGTAATTGTATTGACAGATATTAAAAATGTCTGAAGATGCTGGTAACACCTCAGGCACTGGAGACAAAGCAGAAATTACCGAGATGCCCAATCATGATTCTTTACCTGGAGATGCCGAGGTCCACCGTGATTCAGCTCTGATTTCAGAGGAACCAATTCCAGCTGACCCTGGAGGAGACGTGCGGGCAGACACAGTTGAGGCTGCAGGGACTCCTGACAGCGAGCACCCCATAGACACTGGTGCTGTGCAGCACCCCCACAATGGAGAGGTGGCTGAAGGGGTGCTGGCTGAGTGCATTGACTCCGTCAGTCTAGAGGCAGAACTTGGATCTGAAATACCGCTCAAAGAACAGAGTGATCTGGTAAGGGTAGTTCATACGATTCCGTTGAACCTCATTTCTCATTGACTCATTGGGCACAGATTTGTGACAAGGGCTACAAGTGGTGATTGGGGGCTTAGAATACATATGCTATAAATAGATAACCTCATCTCTATAACATCCCCACTGGCATCAGAAGTGTGTTCTGTGGTGAGAAAGGAATAACTGAGACTAATTGGTCATTACAGTGATGATAGCAATTTGATAAATTATATTAATAATAACAGCCACAAATTTTTGGACATGTTCTGTGTTCTAGGCACCAGGCTTCAGTCCTGTCTGTTATGTCAAAGTTCTTTGAGAGTCTCAGCTGGATGTTCTTAACCTCAATGTACAGACACAGCAGCCAGGCTCACAGATATTAACCATCCCAGTAGGATGTTAAACAAACAGAAAATATTGTAGTATTAAATTTAATGAGCTAGTAACTGTTAGTAAGCCTTATTCCACCCTAAATAGTCAGTCTTTCTTTAAAGCCACTTAAATTTTAATACGTTTTTGCATATCCACTATGGAGATGTTAAACATTCCCATTGCTGCTTTACCACCAGGGACCAGAGGCAATGCTCATGGTTGCCACCGCCTCCCTTCAGGGCCCATATTCGTCTCCCTGGGGGATAAGATAGACCAGTGTTTCCCAGGTGGTGTCTTGCGGCACATCAGTACACTGTCCAACCTGGGTTTTTCTGACATCCTCACCTCCATCCGTGTGGGGACTGGCACTCAGTGTGAGAGATGGCTGCTCTACCCAAGGCCTGCCTTGGGAAGGATGATGGAATCAGGGTCTCCCTTCCCCAGCCCTGCCCTACTGACCCTGAAGAGTGCGCCATAGATCACCTCCTTGATGGGGCGCTGCTGCACTCAGTAAGGGAAGGGAGATAATAGGGAGCCACGGCAGCAGCTTCTCTGCCCACCTGTGCCTATGCAGGTGCTTCTTTCCACCCGCTCTCTCCCTCTGCAGGGCAGCAGCCTCCTGCCTGCCTGCGAGCTGTACTGTGCTGGGACTTCTCTGCACTGACCTCCCTCAGTGGAGGCCGCTCTCCTAAGGCCACCTGCCTGCAACCATGCAGGTCTCTCTGTAAACCTTTCCCTCTGGGACAGCTCTTCCTGCCCACTTGTGTCTATGCAAATGTCTTTTCCTCTCCTGTCTCTTTCTAATAAACTTAATATATAAAAATATATATAGTATATATATTAAATATAAATATATAAAATACATAAATATATAAAAATATACATATATTTAAATATATAAAAAATAATAATAATAGGGAGCCAAGGGCTGGGCTTTCCTTGGCCAGTCTATTGTTAATTCCACTGGGTTGGATGAGATACAGAATTTCTCTGTGTCTCTGTTTTTATCATTTTGCACATGAAGACCACTAGTAACCTCGAATGCCATGTAATTCTTTATTCAAAAGCTGGCTTCCTGTGCCTCAGAGTCCTCCAGAGGTTTGACTTAAGAACTGTTGTAAGACGAGAGAGACTTCCTCTGGGAGGAGAGTGTTTCCCATCACTGGGGATGTTTCAATAAAAGCCAACAGTCATTTGGCAAGGATGTCAGAGAATGGTTTAAAGAGCAGCTGGGAATGAGGATCAGGTATGGTAAATATACACCCCAAAGTTTGTATGTGAGTTCTCAAAGCTCACAGAGCCTTTCATGGGCCCCCAAAGGGACCAAAAACTAGCTAGGAGGTTCTCAACTCTAGCTGAACGTATCAACTCCTAGGAAAATTTAAAAAAAAAATAATAATAATGCAAGGGTCTGTTGTAGTCTGAGTTCTTCAGAGAAACAAAACCAATAGAAGATGATGGATGGATAGGTAGGTGGATGAATGGATGGATGGATGGGTGGAAGGATGGATTTATGCATACATCATACACATAGACATTTATTATAAGGAATTGGCTCACATACTTATGAAGATTGAGAAGTCCCAAGCCAGAGACCCCAGAGAGCCAAAGTATAGTTCCAGTCCAAGCTCAAAGGCATGACAATTACAGGAGCTAAGGGTTTAAGCTCCAATTTGAATTCTGGTCCAAAGGCAGGAGAAGCTAGTGTCCCAAAGCAATGATAGTGAGACAGAATGGAATTCTTTCTTATAAGAAGACAGATCCGTCTTTTTGCTCAATTCAAGCCTTCAAATGACTGGCTGAGGCCCACACACACTGGAGTGTGGACTTTATACTCGACCCACAAACTTAAACTTATTTTTATTTATTTATTTTTAAAGATTAATTTATGTGTACAGAATTGGGGTGCAAGCCACAGGTGCAAGGGCAGTGAGCAGATTCATCAGAGACAGAGTAGGGAGCAGAACAGGCAGATCGACAAAGCACACTGCTGAGGGGAGCAGTGGGCAGGTCAGGAGAGGTCTGCAGTGCCATGTGGGTCACCTCTGGGGCGGGGATTGAACTCGCAATTATGTGGCTGCGGGGAGTTTGCAGTGCTGCATCCTAACCCATTGCGCCACCAGGGAGGGCCCAAACTTAAATATAAATAGTCATCAGGGTTCCTTTTATGATTCTTTAAATAGGTGATCTTCATTACCTTTCTGGCTCTAAAATTTTATGATGCTAAAATAATACTTCAAAAACTTTTGAAGAACAAATCCGTTCATTCCTTTGGCCACTAAGAAACTTTTTCATAAATAAATTTCAAGAAAAATACAGAAAATAAGTAGGAGCCATTGATAAGCTTGGGGTTTGCAATTTGGTGCTGTTGGTAAAAAGATGGACCTAGAGATTACATCAGTCCATCCAGATGGGGAAATGGCAGAGTGGGAATTTGAATCAGCGCTTTCTCACTCTGGAATCAAAATGCTTCCTTTCTATTGTGGGAAACATTGGTTCTTGATTTTTATTTTGAATGCTATGCTTCACAAATTTTCATATGCTAAGAAAAATACATCTTAGCCACACCATTCAAACTCAAGATACTTTAAAAAACTACACCACGCCATTAGCTCAAAGTATCACATAGGGACATATATAATCCAATTTCAGATTTTTAATAAGTCCAACAAGATAGTCATGAAGGTTCAAAAGTTCATTTACAAGCTGGCTGTTTGGCTCTTAAATAAAGGTGCCCCAGAGAATGGTAAGTTCTGAAGGAAAAAAGCCAAATTCAAAAGTCAGTATTTCCCCACATATCTGCCTTCTTAAAACGTTTGAGCAAATTGAATGAATTTGCTTTTGAAAGCACCTCATAGACCTCAGTGCTACAGGGATAGAGACCAATATATAACACTGATAGCACCTCAAGGACTGGGTGAAAAGGTGAGCATTTCTTCATCATGAAGCATCACAAAAGTGTCTGGATGAGAGGGAAAATCCTAGGTATAGAGTACAGCCGGTGGCCCTAGGTCTCCGTGTGTGGCACCGTAACAGGAGCTCAGACAGAGGCAGGCATGCGACAGGCCTGTGAGCAAGTTCTGCAAAGGATAGAAAGCAGATACTGCTGGCTGGAATGACCTAGAGCAAAAGGCATTTCTCTTTCACCCAGATAAAATTCAAGCCTTTCTAAATAGGCTCAAATTTAGTCTTTTCTAAAAGATTACCAGGAAAAGGATTCTACCATTTCTCGTGGCAACCTATCCTTTTATCTTAGTAACTATTAGCAGTAGTTAATATTGTGCCTCACCCTCCATCACTGTTCATTTGCTCTGTTTTATTTGCCTGTTGTTGGCCTCTTACAAGAAATCTTTTTGCATTCATGAAAACATTTTATTTTTCCTGTTGATCCAGAAGAGAATGAATTCTAAAACATCTTGAGTCAAAAGTTTGTTTACAAGTTGGCTGTTTGGCTCTTAAATAAAGGCAAGTTCTGTAGAAAAACAGCCAAATTCAAAATCCTGTTTGATTCCAGATGTATCTACGCCTAAATGACTCTCATCACCCCTTTAAAAAAGTTTCTATGGCAAAAATGTCTGCTTTTGAAAAACTTAGTAGGAGAACCTTTGAGCTCTCTTCTCTTCGCAGTCTCACCATCATGTCCTATAAACGAAATCAAATATCAAATCACATTGTACTACACTGAAAATTAAGTCTAATTAGTAAGAGTTAAAAATAGTTCATGAGAACTACTTCTCATGTGAGTGTCCAAGTCCCATTGCCCTGTCCTTTAAGTTGCTGTGGCCACCACATTGAGTGAAAGGTTCACTCAAGGCAAATACACAATATTCTAAAGGTAAGGTTTTCGCCCTTCTGTCTGGCACCAAGAAACCAGAATTCCGCAGAGTTCAGAACTGGGTAGATGACCAATAAGCACAGGGCAACATTCTTCCTGATGCCTTATTCATACATAAAGGTCGGAAGGTAATCTGCAAGGTAGTTCCTATTCAAAATCTTGAGTTCCCACTCTTTAAGACTTTCAGATGTTCAGAATGCTAGTTAACAGTCCCCTGTATTTACCAGTTAAAATTCACTTCTGCAACTCAGTATGCTAATTAGAAAGTATCCTGTGTTAGTAGAGGTACAGAAAGTAGAAGTGCTTGTTAGAGCAGCCTCTAATCAGAATGCCTGTTCACCACCCTGGACTCTGCATACTTCACAGCAACACTTGAATTGTAGCTTACTCTAAGGAGCTCCAGAATTTCACAATAGGCATGCTGAAATAAAATCCTAACACTCACGGAAGAAAGGGAGAGAGTAAGAGTCAGATGATAGGGCATGTAAGTCACAAGAATAGAGTATATTAAGTGTGCAAAAGTGGTTAAGCTTCAGATGCTCTGACAGAAGAAATAAAATGACTACTTTGAATCCATGGCTTTGACCACAGGAAGCCATTGTGACCTTGATGAGGAAGCTTTCATGAGGCTGCGGCCATGAGAGAATTTCTGTGGTGGGTGGAAGAGTGAAGGGGTGCAGCGTGGATGCGGAAGATCCTTTTCTAAGAGCTGAAGAAGAAAGAAGTGGGCCAGGAACAGATGTTTGAGGGAAATGTTGGATTATTCTGACTTTTATTCGTTGACTTGCAGATGAAGGATATAAGTGGTTAAATGTGGGAAGACCCAGTAGAGAGAGAAAAGTGGGAAAGCTGAGACAAAAGGAAGACAGGACCAGCCTACCAGGCTCCAAGCAGTCGGGAGTTGGAGGAGGGTGATATTAAACTCAGGGGAAGACAGCGCCTCCATAATGACAGAGGAGAGGAAGTGATTATGTAATTATGAATGCAAGTGTCATAAATTAGTGTGTGTTTAGATAAATGGCTTTTGATTGAGTTCAGTGTACCTATGTTGTTTGCAGAAAAAGGACTAGTTAAACTTTTATTTCAGTTTACAGAATTGGCATTTAAGTTATTAAGATTACAAATTCAAAAATTTAGTTCCTCCTGGGCTTTCCATTCATCTCACAAATCTTACTCTATTTAGAAGTCTAGCAAAATTGAACAATCACTTTCAGAGGCTTTTGATTAATTCTAGTCCTTTTTACCAACTTAAACACATTCAAATATTTTTGAACTGCATCAATAAATATAATATATTCTATTTCTTTTTGAAGTGCCTATTTAGCGACTTAAACAAAACCTTACTAAATCTTTAAAAATTGTTATAAGTCTATTTAAATAACAATTGTAGTAAATATATTAAATGGATAGAATGGACATAAAATCTTACATGTTATAATGCTATGCATAAATTTAGGAAGATTTCAACTGAAAATCAGAAGTTTAATAATTGTTCAAAACTTGCCACTCAAACTAGTCAAGTTCTTTAAGGATTAGTATAAGAAAGCCCAAATGTTCACAGAAGAATTAATAGCATGCCTTTGATGCTCTAAGTTTTTAACTTTTTTTTTTATTTTAAGTCTTCCCAGAGTTGAAATGACACATACTCACAAAGGAACAAAATTACCTGGAAGTAACAGGTCATTTTCAAGCATACATTTTGACATAGTTGCAGAGATCCAGAGCAATTCATACAACAAGCCTCTTTTTGGAGCAGCTGTGTCATGAGTTAATAAAACTTTGAAAGGGCTTGGTCTTACGGTCCCATTGCACACACTCCTTCATGTAAGTTGTGCACAGTACTGACTCTAGATCTACTTGAGGAAATAGAACAACCAAGTTGACCTTTGATCTTAGAACTGGTACATCTATTTTCCACCTAAATGTTATAGAACTTTGAATTAGATGGAATTCTAAGGTTTGCGTTTTTTTTCTTTCTAATGATGCCCTTGAACTTGATAGCCTAAGATAAGTAAATGTACTTTCTATTTAGTGATAAAGACCAGTAAATAGGATATCATATATAAAAGTATCTTTTCCATTTAATGAACTTTGAACTAGATGGAATCTTATATTTATTCCTATTCTTAGGACCAAACAACAGTTAGGGATATTTCAAGGATCTCTTATTGCTTAAAATAAATCTTGAAGTTTGGCTACCCCTCTTGAAGAGGCTAAGTATGATTTATTGTAACAAAATGTGACTTTTCTGAGAGTTGATGGGAAGGGGCAGGAAACAGAATTCTCATCTGATGATTTTTGTTTTTTCTGTGAATTAAGATGTGAAGTTGTCTGTTAAAGGAGGTGGGGTTAACATAGAATAAGGGTGAGAAAAAATCTTTAAAATGATTATATTTGCTAATGGTGAATCTAAGTAGAACTGTGTTGCCTATTTTATAGTCTCATAGTGTTGACATTAAAGTCAAGGAACATGGAAACAATACTCTGTGGAGACATTTATAATTCATGTTGAACTTGTAGTTAGTATGGTTTTTCTATTAAGTGGTCACATTTAGCCACTGGAATATTTGCCACTGATGACAAATATTCTTCATAGCAGATCAAGAGGTTACAGCTCAATGTCAAAGGAGCTTTATTAATAAAGCAATTGCAGTAGTCATTATACCGCAAAAAGTTCTAGACTCATTTAACATTTATTTCCATTTGCTAGTCAATTACCAGCTGTCAGAGTATATTAAGTATTGTAAATTTGAGTCAGAAGCTGTCACTCCTAAGTGTTTTAACTCTCTCTAATCACATAGGTAGTGATTTGTCCCATGAAAGAATGATATTAATCACCAGCTTACATCTGTCTTCATGATGGTGTAAAATTGCTAGTGGCTTCCATTGCCAAAGTGAAGTAAATCAATGTAGACACCAAAAATGAAAGCAGACAGTCATGAATCATAAGCATTTCCATTCAGATTAACAAAATTTCATTGTTTCCAGTGGGATGGGGGTGGGAGAAGATAAGCCAATTTTTGGAGCTTTTTGCTTTTTAGTGTTAAATGTAGTTTACTACTACTAAAAGGAATATTACTAGTAAACATTTATGGAGGATTTACTATGCTCACAATTTTATAAGCATTATCTCTTTATAAGAATTAAATCTTCACAGTAACTTTGTGAGAGTATTGACTCTTACATTGTCATTGAATTGTCTAATGAGTAAATGATGGCTCCAAAGACCTGAGTAACTTGTTGTCCAAAATGGTAGAGCCTGGGACCACCCTGGTGGTGCAGGGATTAAAGTCTCAGCACTATCAAGCTATTGCCAGCCAAGGTAGCATAAGTTTGATCCCTGGCCAGGGAGCTTACCCACATGGCACAGCAGACTTCTTCTGTCTTGCCCCTCAGCAGTGTATTTCAGTGGATCTGCCTGTTTTGCTCCCCACACTGTCTCTGGTGAATCCTCTCACTCCTTACACCTCTGGCCTATACCCAGTTCTTATAAGCACAAACAAACAAATAAGTAAAATATATTTTTTTAAATTAAAGATTTATTTATTTATTCGTACAGAACTGGGGTACAGGCCAGAGATGCGGAGGGTGAGAAGATTCACCAGAGACAGAGCAGGGAGCAGAACAGGCAGATCAACAAGTACACTGCTGAGGGAGCAGCGGGCGGGTCAGGAGAGGTCTGCCACGCCATGTGGATCTCCTCCGGGGCAGGCCGGGATCGAACTCATGTGAAGTGGCTTAAGCTTCTTTGTGCAGTGCTTTAACCCGCTGCGCCACCAGGGAGGGCCATAAGTAAAATATTTTTTAGGAAAAAAATGGTAAAGCCTGGAGTCAAACCAAGCGATTTAGTTTTGTAACCTTTTCTCTTGACCACTAGTCCACGCTCACTCATGGTTTATGATAGTTTCTTGGTAAATCAATTAGGAATGCATTTGGATACAAGTAACTAAAAGCCAATTTAATGGCTTACAAAACAGTAATTTATGTTTTGTAACTTAAGAAAGAATGGCATAGGTAGCGACTCACACTGGTTTAGTAGCTCAGAAGTCCCAGAACTAATGACCCAGTGACTCTGGGATTCTCTAGCTTTTCTCTCATGGAAGCAAAAATGGCTGCTTCTGTTTCACATGTCCACATTCAGGGCAGGAAAAAAGGTCGGGGGAAGAGTTGTAGACAGTAATAAGTTGGAGACACCTGTACGATAGATGGTAATCTATCATGAAAGCAAAAACTTCCCCAATTATATCTCATTAGTCAAAACTATTCCAAATGGCCACCCTCTTGCCACAGCAGGGGGGAAATGTTGGAAATGATTGATGGACCTGCCTTGGGTCAAAAGTTACAGAATGTGCAAATTCTGTAGAAATTTTGCACTTCTCTAATATCATCTTTTTTCTTTTTTTGGAATGAAAAAATTGCTTGTTCTAGAGTTCCTAATTTTCTAGTATGTATTTCTGGGTACTGAAGGAAAAGCTGTGGTGCCAGAAACTGATCCAGGACACATCATTTGCAAGAGACCATTGCACACCTAAGGAAATGGATGATTTTCAGCCTTTAGTCAACTAAAAAAACTTATAAAGCACTCATTATATGTCATATACGCTCCTAGGCTCTGGATATACATCAGTGAATAAAACACTTGAGAGAAGGAGAGGGAGGGGAAGAGAAAGAGTATACTCAGTATCACTCAATCACTCTGGGAAATTCAAGGCACCCAAGGATAGAAATGCAGCAAAGCCCTGAAGAGGAACAGGAACCAGCGGCTGAGAAGCTATTAGAAATCCAAATAGCCTCTCTGAGCATTTCACCTTCATTCTGCATTCTTTGCTTTCTCTTCAGTCTTAGTCTGCAAAGAGGATATAATATGGTTGCCCTACATTACCTGAGTGTCATCTTCTGCCCAAGCAACCATGTCAGGTTGATCCAGATTCTCTCAGTGCCAGTCCAAATACCTAGCAAGCCAGGGGTAGCGAGAAAGAGAATCAGAGGAGTCGCTATAAATGGAATGAATACTCAAAAGACTTCTTTTGCTGGTACCCAGCTCCAGGATTATCCATGCATTTCTAGACAAAGTTCTTCCTTGCCAAAGTTCTTCCTTCTACTCTAGAGATTTGCAAGTTACCTCTATTTTGAGGAGCCCATTTGCTTATAAATGTAAAAATTGCTGCAGCCGTGGTTGTTTGTTTTTTTAATTTTTCCAGTCACTCTTGTGTTCTAGCACATATCAAGTCTCTCCTTGTGCCAGAGTCTTTAGCCCTGTCTTCCTAGTAATGGGAGATTGAGAAGAGAGAAATGAGATCCTACTCCCTTCTCATTTCATACCAAGCCCTCAAAACCAACATCACACTGGTGAATTTGGTTCTAAAGTACACGTTGTAATGTAAGTTGCTATAATTTTTTATGGCCCTTATAAACTCAGCCAGTGAGATGTGGTGGTTTGTGATTTTTCTTTGTTTTAAACCAGTGAGTGTTTTTGCATTCAGGAGTAAACTGAACCACTGACCTTCAGCTCATCTGTTTCTCTCCAGGCTGAGGCTGCGGACGCCCCTCCACGTGGTAGGGGATGGACAGGCTGGGGCTCCTGGGGCAAATCACTGATCTCATCAGCATCTGCCACAGTAGGTAAGCATTATGTGCTGCATTTGAATGGATGAAGTTCAGAAGCCTAATAGGAGATGACATTTCAATCATACCATGGACTGACAGTTTAACACTCATCCATGGGATAATAAGAGTAAATTATTTTCAGTGATTAGAATTCTAAGTGCTTCCTCATATGTATTAACATATTCATTCCTCAAAATAACCCTATAAGGATGTACTCTTATCTCTTATTTTTATAATTTTAGAGATAAGGAAGCTGATTCACAGAGAGGCTAAGGCCTTACCAAAGTCAGAAGTAGCTGCATTGAACCAAGTAGTATGACTATTAACCACTATACTATATTACTTCCTAAAATACAAGATTTGGGCTTGTCCTTAAAGCTTATCATCTCACTTGAATGTTTTAAAATGCATAACCCACCTGCTCCCTAAAGAGATTTGAGGTTTCTATCAAGGGCACTTCAACAGCAGGGCATTGAAATAAAATTAAAACAATGCAGGCAGGAATGATGTATATTATATAGGTTATATATAAGCAGATGTGTTCCGAGGCTCATAGAGTTACTGTCATGAGCATTGATCTTAATTCTGAGCTCCTGGCTACTATCATTGAGTGATAAAACAAAGTTTATTTTCCCTAAGTTAATTAAATTTATTGATATTAAAGTTTTTATGGAGTCACAGGTATTGGTTTTCATATAAAGAGATAATATCACGGACAAAGTCCTCATCAGGACAGGCTTATCTAAACATCCTCATGTGACTGTTACACCCACTTTTCATGAAGACTGAAGGTACGTCAGTGTCTAAGATAATTTCACCTTCAAGGTGGACAGTGAGAAACAGGATTATTTCACCTTCAAGGTGGACAGTGAGAAACAGGACAGGGAAGCCACAGGTAACATACCTTTAGACCAGCTAACTCAGGTGTTCTCAGAGGATAGTCCATGGCCACAAAGATCCTGTGATGGGCCATGAGTTGATTCAGTTGGTTCTTACACCTAACAGTAGGAGGCGAAGGAGGCCTGGCGTCCTTTTGCCACCTCTGTGGACAGTGGTCATGAACAGTGACAAAAGGCCAGATACCTAGTTTGATGAATTTGCACTGCCTGGGAGAATGGATAGATTGCTTTCTCTAATTCCATGTTTGTCAGATAATCAGGAGCTCTCAGGCAAGAGGTAACAGTAGTCAAAACAACACTGACCTCTCTGTAAGAGCCTTGGAGCAGGTTTTACTCTGTTGAGGGGTGGGGGTGTCATGGACCCTATACATGCAGATGGCAAACCTAACCAAGTTAAAGGAAGGAGTCTCTTGTTATCTGAGCAGGACAGAGTCCCTTCACAAAAATAATGACAAGTCCCTCTAGCCATTCTGCTCTTAAGAAAAATTGTTTGAATTTAGTGGTTCTCAAATGGAATTTGCCACAGGCAGTACTTAGGACTAGCATGCTTCTTTTCTTTTTCTTTTTTAAAGTTTTATTTATTTATGCATACAAGAACTGAGGTACGGGCCAGGGTGTGGGGATGGGTGAGAGGATTCACCAGAGACAGATTGGAGGGCAGAACAGGCGAATCTCCTGAAATACACTGCTGAGGGGAGCAGCAGGTGAGACGGAGGGCTGCTGCACCCTGTGGGTCAGCTCCCTGGCTGGGGATCAAACTTGTGCTGCAGCAGCTGATCGAACTCGGGTTCATAGTGCTGACACTTAACCCTTTGCGACACCAGAGAGGCCCCCAGGACTAGCATGCTTTCTGAGCCCAAAAAACATGACCTCCTAACATTTTTGAAAGGAGCTAAGTCATGAACAGTAAATAATATGGTCGCCAAATTATGCAACTCTCTATATGGTTTATGTCATAAAACAGGCAAGTGTTCTGGATGCTTTCAGATGTAATGGTCTCCAGAAATGTCCTTGCTTATACATTCAGTGCTAAAGAAGCTTCTATGATAGGCAAAGGATTTACACTCATTGAAATTGTAAATATAAGTTCCTTCTGCAGCAAATACAGCAATAAGCTGCCCTCAGGTACAGCTGCAGTAGGCTTTGTTGGGTTGGTGGTTTTCTTCGCCACACCTCCAGGTGCACCTGCCCATCACTGCTCTGCCCTTGTCTGGTCTCTGCTGTTTTTTCCCATCAGCCAGTGGCTAGTCCTCATCATGGGACTTGTGCTTTATTGGGCCCTTACAAAGGTTTCTATTCCCCAGCAGACCGTGTGTTGTTGAATGTACCATCCAGTATCATCTTCGGTATCCTGTTGTAATCTGACCTTTGCGCGTAGTCAGCCGGGTACAGCCCGGGCCCAGTGGACTCTGCTCCAAGGCCTTTGGGTTCAAGTATAATGAGTAGATGCTACTGCTTTTACTGCAGAAAAGGCAGTATGTGATTTCTGTGCAGGACGCAGCTACACCGGCAGGCACTTGCCTTGTAACTTGATCTAAAGTGTCTTAATCTCTAGCCTATGTTTGTGTTTCGTGTTGCTCTTGAAGTTTCCCTGTGTTAAGCACCACAGAAGTGATCAACTTATAACTTATTAATGTCACAATCACTTAAAACCTGTGGTGGTTCTCACTTCACTCTGTGTAGTAATTGACCCAGAAGAGGCCTGGAAGCTAACAAACAGTCTCTGGACCAACACTGCCATTACGCCAGACACTGATGGCCCTCGGCCTTGACGGTTGGTGGAGATAGGTTCTCTGAGACTGACATTTGTACGTTGCTCCGTGGAATATAAGGATGAAACTCAATAGGCCCTCTTCCATTAGTTTCTACTGCCGGGTGATAAATCACCACACACTTGAAGCTTACAACAACATACATGGGTTATGTCACAGTTCCTGTGGGTCAGGAGTTCAGGTATAGGAGACCTGTGTCCCCTGTTCAGTGTCTTCTCAGGCTGACATCGAAGTGTCTCACCTGACCTGTAGAGTCATCTTTCAAAGATTTTCGGGGTGTTGGCAGAGTTTCTCTCTTTGTGGTTGTAGGCCTAGACCCCCATTTTCTGGCTGGTTACTGGGAAAGGCGTCACGCCCAACCCCAGAAGGCTGTCCTCAGGTGCTGCGTCCAAACCAGCGTGATAATGTTCCCTTCAAATGTCTCCCTTTGGGAAGGGCCCCCACCCATTCTTAGTCTCCTATCCCAGGCATATCCAGGATCATGCCTTGTGGCTAACTCAGATACAACTGATGAAGGACCTTAATTACACCTGAAAAATCTCTCCCCCTATTAATTTCCACCTGTAATTATAAAATAAGTAAGTCTGACTTAATGAAATCAAGCCAACTCTGAAAATAAATAGGATTTATTTGCAATTATGGCTAAATGAGATCCTGAAAATGTGTATGTGCTGTTGTGTTCTGGATGACTGGTGAAATTTTACAAATAAAATATTTCAAAGAACAAAAATGGAAAATCCCTTTACCTTCCGTTTAACAGAACCTGCTCTGGGGAGTAGGGCAAACTACTCACCATTTCACAGTCCTGCCCACACTCAGAGCGGGAGCTCACACAGGCATGTATCCCTCAGTGGGGAGAGAAGGGGGCATCTGTCTACCACATTTACCTCTTCTGTTTGAAATCCTCATCTGCACACCTCCAATCCCAGCAACTTTCTGTTTGTTTGGTTGTTTGATTTTGACTCTGGGTGCCTGTTAGAAATTTGAAAAGTGTTTGAATCTTGGCATTTTCTCTTACTTGCCCCTACAGTGGCCTAAGGGCACTCGGAAGGGATCAAAGAAATCTTGGAGCTCATTTTCAGAAACCTTGGACAAACTGGAACTAGCTTTTAGAAAGTAGAGGCTAATTTGTCACCATCCCAATAAAGGCAGCAGTGATATAATGGAATACCACCCCTAGGTTGCTCCTCAGACATATTTTGGAAATTTCTAGTCAAGAATCACTGTGACTTTGCATAGTAATAGTGTAACAGGTACAGGTTTCATGGGCTCCGCCCCCACTCCAGATGCTGGAACTCCAAATCCCATCAGTACCAGGGAGAAGCACAGTGGGATATGAGGGCGGAGCTGGGCAGCCAGGTTGGGATAAAACCGGACATGTGGGCTCTGGCGGGACCTGGTTGTTCGCAGCTGATCGTTTTGGGGCTCAATCGGTTTTCAGCGTGCCGGTGGAGTCCACGTCAGCAGAACTGGTAGGACATCCTAGTTAACCTGTGTTTCTCTCCCTCTTTCCCTGGGTTACTCCTTTACCTTTCTCCTTATAAATAAATCCATTATTTAACCTTTTGAGTGTGTCCATAATACGACTGAATCGTAAGCGCGCGGGTGAAGACCCACAGACAGGCAACCCAATTCACATTGGGGTGCCCTGTAACAATAGCAATAGATATTTTAAAACTAGGTAAGTTTCCCTGTAGACCTGCTAAGGATTAAAACCTGTAGCATAAGGAGCAGCTGAAGCCACAGTTCCAACACTGGAAGCAGGGAGCGATGGTGTGGGGTTTGACCTACAGAGTCTGTGGGAGTCACAAGTGTCCCACAGATAGAGGGGGGGGACAGACTCACCGTCTGAATCAGAGGGCTGAGGTGGGGCTCAGCCTCCTGGGATCTGCTCCTATGGCTGCAAGAGGAGAGCTAGGCACACCTGCTGTGTGCACAGGCATAATATCCACCCACCCTGATCACCACAGGGCAGAGAAGTGTCAAGTTAAAATAAAAGTGACCCTCTCAGTGCTTGCATGAAATCAAGCATTTCCTGGCCAACAGTTCTTTTTGGAGACTGTAACTTGCATGGCTTTACCCATAGCTGCACTGGCCCCACAAGTAGGAAAACGTGATCCCTGCCACCGTAGCCCTTTGGACAAGTTCATAAAAGGTGAAAAAAGTGCTCATTATCTAAAACCTAGGCAAAACCCAGAGTGAGCAAGAAAAATGTTTTAAAAATGATTTTGCTGGTAATTTCAAAGTGATGTTGTTAGAAGCAAATTCTAGTTCTCATATCGAAGAAACCTAACTTATTCCTAAAATACATTGCTCAACTGAGGGATAGACCAGTCATCAAAAT